GAGTCTTCCTTGCAGGATCTTGAGCATTACCTTACTGGCATGTGAAATAAGGGCCACTGTACGGAAGTTTGAGCAGTCTTTCGCATTTCCCTTTTTTGGTATGGGGATATAAGTTGATTTTTTCCAGTCTGATGGCCATTCTTGTGTTTTCCATATTTGCTGGCATATGGCATGCATCACCTTGACAGCATCATCTTTTAAGATTTTAAACAGTTCAGCTGGGATCCCGTCGTCTCCTGCTGCCTTGTTGTTAGCAATGCTTCTTAAGGCCCATTCAACCTCACGCCTCAGGATGTCTGGTTCTAATTCATTCACCACACCGTCATAACTATCCTCAATATTATTATCCTTCCTATACAGATCTTCTGTATAGTCTCGCCACCTTCTCTTGATCTCTTCAGCTTCTGTTAGGTCCCTGCCATCTTTGTTTCTTATCATACCAATTTTTGCCTGAAATTTACCTCCAATGTTTCTAATTTTCTGGAAGAGGTCTCTTGTCCTTCCTATTCTGTTGTCTTCTTCCACTTCCATGCATTGCTTATTTAAAAATAGTTCCTTATCTCTTCTGGCTAACCTCTGGAATTGCGCATTTAACTGGGCATATCTCCCCTTATCACTGTTTCCTTTTGCTTTCCTCCTTTCTTATGCTACTTCCAGTGTCTCAGCAGACAACCATTTTGCCTTCTTGGTTTTCTTTTTCTTTGGAACGTACTTTGTTGCCGTCTCCTGAACAATGTCGCGGACTTCTGTCCATAGTTCTTCTGGGACTCTGTTTACTAAATCTAGTCCTTCAAATCTGTTCTTCACTTCCACTGTATATTCGCTAGGAATGTTAGTGAGATCATATCTAACTGGTCTGTGTATTTTCCCTGATCTCTTTAGTTTTATTCTAAATTTGGCAATAAGAAGTTCGTGATCTGGGCTACAGTCAGCCCCAGGTCTTGTTTTCACCGACTGGATGGATGTCCGCCACCTTTGGCTGCAAAGGATGTAGTTAATCTGATTTCGGTGTTGACCATCTGGTGAGGTCCATGTATAAAGCCGTCTTTTAGGTTGTTGGAAGAGAGTATTCGTTATACACAGCGAGTTTTCCTGGCAAAATTCTATCAGCCTGCGTCCGCTTCATTTTGTTCTCCCAGACCATGCTTGCCTGTGATCCCAGTTGTCATTTGACTTCCCACCTTGGCATTCCAGTCTCCTGTAATGAAAATAATGTCTCTTTTTGGTGTATTATCCAGTAGGTCCTGCAGATCCTCATAGAACTGATCTACTTCTGCTTCTTCAGCAGCTGTGGTTGGGGCATATATTTGGATCACTGTCATGTTGAAAGGCTTTCCTTGCACTCGAATTGAGATCATTCTGTCATTTTTTGGGTTGTATCCAAGCACCGCTTTAGCGAATTTCTTATTAATTATGAAGGCTACTCCATTTCTTCGATGTTCCTCTTGTCCGCAGTAGTAAATCTGGTGGCCATCTGATGTGAAGTGGCCCATTCCAGTCCATTTCAGTTCGCTGACCCCCAGAATGTCTATCTTTAGTCTTGACATCTCACCAATAACAACATCCAATTTGCCCTGGCTCATAGATCTTACATTCCAGGTTCCTATGGTGTGTTGATCTTTAGAGCATCGGATTCGTCGTTCGCCTCCAGTACCGTCGGCTGCTAGCCTTCCTTTCGGCTTTGAGCTAGCTGCGTCATCACATCTGGGGCTAGTTGAACTTATCCTCTGCTCCTCCCCAGTAGCATTTTGGCCATCTTCCGACCTGGGAGTCCCATCTTCCAATGGCATACCGACATATCTCTGGTTGTACTGGTCCATTTAGTTTTCTTGGCAAGGATACTGGAGTGGTTTGCCATTGCCTTCCCCAGGGATCACGCTTGGTCTGACCTCTCTGCCACAACCGTCCCGTCTTGGGTGTCCCTTCACGGTTTCGCTCATGACATCATTGAGGTGCTCAAGCTCCAGCGCCCCGACAAGGCGGTGATCCTTAACACACAAATACTCAAATATATACACACACATATATACGCAAACACACATATATACACACACATAAACACATATATACACACTCAAAGCACATATACACAGACTGGGCCACAGCAACGCGTGGCAGGGGATGGCTAGTAACTAATATTTACATCTATTAGTTATAGATGTAAATATTATTATTTACATAATAATATGTACATTTTACATTTTATGGAATTTTGTATATGCACTAGCTAGCTCTGTGCATTCGGATGTCTTCATTGCGGAGACTAGAAGTGCTTTGACATTTCCCACTTTTGTGCTTTTTTGGCACAGTGAAACATACTGATTTGTGACAATATGCCCGATTGTTCTCTGGAAACATCCAGTGGTGCTGTCTCCATTGTGAAGGCATTAACATATCCCCCATGAATGAAGCTCTACAGTGTCAGCTGTGTTGTAAGCTCACATTTGAGCAATCCGCTATGCAAAACCAAAGGGCACAGGGCTAGTCAGGGGAGAGAAAGGGTTGTGATTCACTAACCATTGAATAGGACTTATTTTCAGCCTTAAGCAATCATAGGAGCACATACTTCAAATACCTCCCTGAGTCTCCTAATAATTATTATAGGAAGCTGCAAAGATGATGAAGGATCCTATGACTCTATGAGCGCCCGCTTGGGAAGAAAGCAGGAGAGACATTAGCGTCAGCATCACACTGGCACCCTGCTGCCCACAGCCATTGCTGACACTACTGGCGCCACGTCCAGAGGACGGCTGCCCCTTTAATCGCCAACCTACTGACACTGTTTACATAGTGAGCCTTAAACCATGCCCCTTGTTTCCTCCAGCATCTCACCAAAAGCCCCAGCTTCTGCCCAATGAAGAAAGCTCCTTGAGTGCATCCTCTATTCCAGGAAATCCCCCAAACAACCTTGATCCCAAGGAAATCCCCAAAACAACCTTGATTCCGATGTTCCAGGGATTATTGCATCCTCCCCAAGTCATAGGAATCCCTTCCAGTCCTTATTATATGGTGGAATCTACTAATTTGAACTCAAGCAACCACAATAAATAAAGAAATAGATAATGCTTTAAAGTGAAATAAAAATGCATGTGTAATAACACAGTAAAACTGTGCTGCATTGTTTGTTTTTGTTTTAATTTGCTTCTCACTCCTGTGCTTCAATATGAATATCAAGTCAATACAGAGTGCATGGTGTTGCATAATAATAATAATAATAATAATAATAATAATAATAATAACTAGCCATTCCCTGCCAAATAAAGTAACGAGAAAGTGTTGGTTTCTAATATATGTAATTTCTTTATGATGTGGGTAAACAGTATTTCTTGCTGTTTCTTTGTCAGTGTTGATGTGGAGATTGTCTGGTTTGCCCACCCTGGAACATGCAACATATCATTGTCCTTCTTTAAGGGTCCCTTTCAAATCTATGATACTATATCTCTCTGTGTGTGAATCCTATCTATCTATCGATCTATATCTATCTATGGCTGGATGGCTCTTTGTCAGGAGGACTTTGATTATGTTTTCTTGCCCTGATGAAGGGAGTTGGATTGGATGGCCTTAAGTATTTTCTGTTGGTCATGGGGGTTCTGTGTGGGAAGTTTGCCCTGATTCTGTCATTTGTGGGGTTCAGAATGCTCTTTGATTGTAGGTGAACTGTGAATCCCAGTGACTACAACTCCCAAATGTCAAGGTCTATTTCCCCCAAACTCCATCTGTGTTCATATTCGGGCGTATTGAGTGCTTGTGCCAAGTTTGGTCCAGATCATCATTGTTTGAGTCCACAGTGCTCTCTGGATGTAGGTGAACTACAACTCCCAAACTCAAGGTCAATGCCCACCAAACCCTTCCAGTATTTTCTGTTGGTCATGGGAGTTCTGTGTGCCAAGTTTGGTTCAATTCCATCGTTGATGGAGTTCAGAATGCTCTTTGATTGTAGGTGAATTATAAATCCCAGCAACTACAACTCCCAAATGACAAAATCATAATTTTTTGAGTGATGGTCACTCCTTGTGTTGTGAGACATTTTATTGCCAAATTTGGTGTGATTTCGTTCATTGGTTCTTTTGTTTTTAAGGTACTCATTATGCACAGAGCATTTATATATAAATAATAATAATAATAATTAATATTATTATTAATAATAAATGTATTTTCCCCGTATCCTCGTGGCAATAAATAAACATATAGATAATGCTTTAAATTGAAATAAAAATGCATCTTTTACAGTAAAACTGCGGCATTCAGTTTGTTTTTGTTTTAATTTGCTTCTCACTCCTGTGCTTCAATTTGAATATCAAGTCTATATAGAGTGCATCATGTGGAATAGTAGTAGTAATAATAATAATAATAATAAATGTATTCTCCTCCTCTCCTCGCAGCAATAAATAAACATATAGATAATGCTTTAAATTAAAATAAAAATGCATGTCTATTACAGTTTTAATTTGCTTCTCACTTCTGTGCTTCAATATGAATATAAAGTCAATACAGAGGGCATGGTGTGTCATAATAATAATAATAATAATAATAATCAATGTATTAGTTTCCTCCCCTTGCGGCAATAAATAAAACGATAGATAATGCTTTAAATTGAAATAGAAATGCATGGCTAATAACACAGTAAAACCGTGCTCCATTGTTGTCGTCTTAATATGCTTCCTGTTCCTGTGTTTCAATATTTATATCAACTCAATACAGAGTGCATGCTTTGGCATAATAGGTAAAGGTTTCCCCTTGAAATTAAGTCTAGTTGTGTCTGACTCTGGGGAGTGGTGCTCATCTCCATTTCTAAGCCAAAGAGCCTGCATTGTCTGTAGACACCTCCAAGGTCATGTGGCTAGCATGACTGCACTGAGTGTCCTTACCTTCCTGCCAAAGCGGTACCTACTGATCTACTCACATTTGCATGTTTTCAAACTGCTAGGTTAGCAGAAGGTTATCTGCTTTGAACTGGATCATATGGCAGTGAGGACAGGCTCCTATAATCCACTTCAAGGCAGATCATGTGCTTTGACATTCTGGGTTATATGGCAGTGTGGAAGGGCCCTAATCGTCCACTGTAGCAGTAGTAGTAGTAATAATAATACTGTATTTATATCATTATTATATATTATTAAATTAATACATTATTATTATTATGACTATTGCTATCCTGCTTGTATCCCTTGACTCAAACTCTTATATTATTATTATTTTTATTATTATTATTATGACTATTGCTATCCTGCTTGTATCTCTTGACTCAAACTCTTATATATTATCATTACATTAATATATTATTATTATTATTATTATTATTATTATTATTATTATTATTATTATGCTTTGCTACTCTGCTGCTGAATATGCATGCCCAGTATGGAATGTTTATTTATTTATTTATTTACTTTATTTGTATACCGCTGTTCTCAGCCCTTAAACTCTTATATATTATTAAATTAATATATTATTATTATGACTATTGCTATGCTTCTTGTATCTCTTGACTCAAACTGTTATATATTATTATATTAATATTATTATTATCATTATTGCGATCCTGCTTGTATCTCTTGACTCAAACTCGTATATATATATATATATATATATATATATATATAATAATAATAAAAATAATAATAATATAAGAGTTTGAGTCAAGGGATACAAGCAGGATAGCAATAGTCATAATAATAATAATGTATTAATTTAATAATATATAATAATGATATAAATACAGTATTATTACTACTACTACTACTACTACAGTGGACGATTAGGGCCCTTCCACACTGCCATATAACTCAGAATGTCAAAGCACATATATCTATATCTATATATAATATTATATTACATTATTATTATTATTATTATTATTATTATTATTGCAATCCTGCTTGTATCTCCTGACTCAAACTGCACAAACACAGTCAAACAAACATGGTTGTGTCTCTAAACTTGTCAGGACTGAGGCCCCTTCCACACTGCCACATAAAATCCAGATTATCTGCTTTGAACTGGATTATATGGCAGTGTGGACAGACTCCTATAATCCACTTCAAGGCAGATCATGTGCTTTGATATTCTGGGTTACATGGCTGTGTGGAAGGGCCCTAAGAGTCCACTGTAGTAGTAGTAGTAATAATAATAATAATAATAATAACAATACTGTATTTATATTATTAGATTAATTTATTATTATTATACCTATTGCTATCCTGCTTGTATCCCTTGACTAACACTCTTATATTATTATTATTATTATTATTATTATTATTATTATTATTATTATTGCGATCCTGCTTGTATCTCTTGACTCAAACTGTTATATATTATTATTATTATTATTATTATTATTATTATTATTATTGCGATCCTGCTTGACTCAAACTGCAAAAAAAAAAAACAGTCAAACATGGTTGTGTCTCTAAACTTGTCAGGACTGAGGCCCCTTCCACACTGCCACATAAAATCCAGATTATCTGCTTTGAACTGGACTATATGGCAGCGTGGACAGACTCACATAATCCACTTCAAGGCAGATCATGTGCTTTGATATTCTGGGTTATATGGCTGTGTGGAAGGGCCGTAAGAGTCCACTGTAGTAGTAGTAGTAGTAATAATAATAATAATGATAATACTGTATTTATATTATTATAATATAATATTATTATATTAATGTGTTATTATTATGACTATTGCTATCCTGCTTGTATTTCTTGACTCAAGCCGTTATATATTATTATTATATTAATATATTATTACGATTACTGAGATCCTGCTTGTATCTCTTGACTCAAACTGCTATATATTATTATTATATTAATATATTATTATGACTATTGCTATCCTGCTTGTATCTGACTCAAACTGTCATATATTATTATTATATTAATTTATTATTATTATGACTATTGCTATCCTGCTTATATCTGATTCAAACTGTTATATATTATTATATTAATATTATTATTATCATTATTGCGATCCTGCTTGTATCCCTTGACTCAAACTCTTACATATATATTATTATATTAATATATAATAATTATTATTGCAATCCTACTTATATCTCTTGACTCAAACTCTATTAATATATTATTATTATTATTCAGTTCTTGTGGGTTTTTTCGGGCTATATGGCCATGTTCTAGAGGCATGCCTCAGTCTAGAACATGGCCATATAGCCCAAAAAAACCCACAAGAACTGAGTGATTCCGGCCATGAAAGCCTTCGACAATACATTATTATTCTTATTATTATTATTATTATTATTATTACTGCGATCCTGCTTGTATCTCCTGACTCAAACTGCAAAAAAACAGTTAAACAAACATGGTTGTGTCTCCAAAGTTGTCAGGACTGAGGCCCCTTCCACACTGTCACATAACATCCAGATTATCTGCTTTGAACTGGATTATATGGCAGTGTGGACAGACTCCTATAATCCACTTCAAGGCAGATGATGTGCTTTGATATTCTGGGTTATATGGCTGTGTGGAAGGGCCCTAATAGTCTACTGCAGTGGTTCTCAACCTGGGGGTCGGGACCCCTGGGGGGGTCACGAGAGGGTTTTAGAGGGGTCACCAAAGACCATCCAAAACCATAGTATTTTCTGTTTGTTCATTAGGGTTCTGTGTGGGAAGTTTGGCCCAATTCTATCATTGGTGGGGTTCAGAATGCTCTTTGATTGTAGGTGAACTATAAATCCCAGCAACTACAACTTCCAAATGTCAAGGTCTATTTTCCCCAAACTCCACCAGTGTTCACATTTGGGCATATTGAGTATTCGTGCCAAGTTTAGTCCAGAATCTTTGTTTGAGTCCATAGTGCTCTCTGGATGTAGGTGTACTACAACTCCCAAACTCAACAGTCAATGCCCACCAAACCCTTCTAATATTTTCTGTTGGTCATGGAGTTCTGTGTGGCAAGATTGGTTCAATTCCATTGTTGGAGTTCATAATGCTCTTTGATTGTAGGTAAACTATAAATTCCAGCAACTACAACTCCCAAATGACAACATCAATCCCCTGCCAACCCCAGCAATATTAAAATTGGGGCATATCACGTATTTGTGCCAAATTTGGTCCAGTGAATGAAAATACATCCTGCATATCAGATATTTATATTATGATTCATAACAGGAGCAAAATTATAGTTGTGAAGTAGCAACAAAAATAATATTATGGTTGGGGGTCACCACAACATGAGGAACTGTACTAAGGGGTCGCGGCATTAGAGAGGTTGAGAACCACTGGTCTACTGTAGTAGTAGTAATAATAATAATAATGTATTATTATTATTATTATTATTATTATTTGGATGGTCTTTGAGCATCTGGACTGTATGGCAGCATAGAAGGGGGCCTTGCAGCCCTGTTTTCCAGCCAGAATCAGGCTCCAAATCCAAGGACCCCCCTCCCTCCTTCCCTCCCATTGAAACCCACTGTGGGGAACCTGGGGGTCCTCCTGCTGAAGGCAAGAGAGGTGCCTGTGCATGTGCAGAGGGCGAAGGGGGGCTGCCATACAGATCCCTCCCTTCACATGGAGCATTACCTTCCCCGCAGAGCCTTGCCTCTTCTCCTCTGCTCTGCTCTCCTGAGAGGCGATGGACGCGGCCCAGGCCTGTCTCTCCCTCCTCCTCCTCGCCCTCGCCTGACCGCGGCCCCGCGATGGGATGCCTTGCCTGGGGCGGGACTAAGGCCAGCAGGGGCCGGGCCTGCTCTTCTCCGCCTCCTTTCCTCCCTCCCTTCCCCGACGAGGAGGGCCCTCGCTTAAGGGAAGAGAGAAGGAAGAAGCGTCCGAGGCCTGCTCTCCAAGGAAGCCCAGGCAGAGAGAGAAAGAGAGGAGCCAGGAGACTTTTAGGGCCTTGACAGGCCTCTGAAACCACTGAATTATTTTATGTGGTGGACACAGACATAGAAATACAGATAAGAGAGTGTTGCTGTCAGCTTTCCAGGCTGTTTGGCCGTGTTCCAGAAACATTTTCTGGTTTATAGAATCAAAGAGTTGGAAGAGACCTCCTGGGCCATCCAGTCCAACCCCATTCTGCCAAGAAGCAGGAATATTGCATTCAAATCACCCCTGACAGATGGCCATCCAGCCTCTGTTTAAAGGCTTCCAAAGAAGGAGCCTCCACAACACTCCAGGGGCAGAGAGTTCCACTGCTGAACGGCTCTCACAGTCAGGAAGTTCTTCCTCATGTTCAGATGGAATCTCCTCTCTTGTAGTTTGAAGCCATTGTTCCGCGTCCTAGTCTCCAAGGAAGCAGAAAACAAGCTTGCTCCCTCCTCCCTGTGGCTTCCTCTCACATATTTATACATGGTTATCATATCTCCTCTCATCCTTCTCTTCTTCAGGCTGAACATGCCCTGCTCCTTAAACCGCTCCTCATAGGGCTTGTTCTCCAGACCCTTGATCATTTTAGTCGCCCTCCTCTGGACACATTCCAGCTTGTCAATATCTCTCTTCAATTGTGGTGCCCAGAATTGGACACAATATTCCAGGTGTGGTCTAACCAAAGCGGAATAGAGGGGTAGCATTACTTCCTTAGATCTAGACACTATGCTCCTATTGATGCAGGCCAAAATCCCATTGGCTTTTTTTGCCGCCACATCACATTGTTGGCTCATGTTTAACTTGTTGTCCACGAGGACTCCAAGATCTTTTTCACACGTACTGCACACGTACCCATTCTGTATCTTTGCATTTCCTCCTTTCTCTAAGAAATTGTGAAGACAGGAAACAGTCAGGGTCAGCTAACACCTCCCAACAAAGGATCCCCCCCCCAGCAGGAAATAGCTAGGCTTTGTAGCTGCAAAGCCATTTATTTATTTCGGGTACTTTTACCCCGGCTTTCTCAACCCCCGAGGGGGGACTCAGGGCGGCTTACAAAAAGGCACAATTCGATGCCTATACAAATTACACATAATGTACAAAACCATAGTTAAAACAATTATCACAGTTAAAACAATCAAAACAATCAGTATATAACATCATATAAAAACTATTCACATGCTCAGCGTTCGTCTTTCAGAGTTCCAAATTCCATTCCATTAGTCATTTCCTGGCCATTGTCAAAGTCCTTTCTTTATCTGCCCGATTGTCCGAATGCCTGGTCCCAAATCCATGTTTTCAGTTTTTTCCTGAAGGAAAGGAGTGATGTCGCTGATCTAATTTCCCCGGGGAGTGAATTCCACAGGTGGGGGGCCACCACCGAGAAGGCCCTGCTCCTCGTCACCGCCAATCTCACTTGTGATAGAGGTGGGGCCAAGAGCAGGGCCTCCCCAGAAGATCTTAGACTCTGAGGTGGGACGTAGAGGGAGATCCGTTCGGACAGATACGCTGGGCCGGAACCGTATAGGGTTTTGTAGGTCAAAACCAGCACTTTGAATTGTGCTCGGAACTGGATCGGCAGCCAGTGGAGCTGACACAACAGGGGGGTGGTATGCTCCCTGTATGACGCTCCGGTGAGCAATCTGGCTACCTCCCGCTGGACTAGTTGGAGTTTCCGAACAGTCTTCAAAGGCATTCAAGGCTAATCAAGAGGCAAGAGTTCTTTCTCCCACCCAGGACATTATTCCACAGATATGTTAACAGTAAATAAGGAGCAACATTCAAAACCAGGGGAACTCCAGACAAGAAACAATCAGGGTCAGCTAACACGTGCCAAGAAAGGATGACCCCTGAGCAGGAAGCAGCCAGGCTTTGAAGCTGCAAGGCCATTCAAGGCTAATCAACAGGCAAGAGTTCTTTCTCCCACCCTGGACATTAATCCACAGATATGTTAACAGTAAATAAGGAACAACATTCAAAACCAGGGGAGCTCCAGACAAGAAACAATCCAGGTCAGCTAACACCTCCCAAGGAAGGATTCCCCCCAGGCAAGAAGCAGCCAGGCTTTGAAGCTGCAAGGCCATTCAAGGCTAATCAAGACTAGAGTTCTTTCTCCCACCCTGGACATCATTCCACACATATATAAACCCCATACATTTCCAAAGAAACCATGGTTTGCTGTGAGTTTTCCAGGCTGTCTGGCCATGTTCCAGAAGCATTCTCTCCTGATGTTTTGCCTACATCTATGGCAAGCATCCCCAGAGGTTGTGAGGTCTGTTGGAAACCAGGAAAGGGAGGTTTATGTATCTGTGGAATGCTAACACCTCCCAACAAAAGATTTCCCCAGGCAGGAAGCAGCCAGGCTTTGAAGCTGCAAGGACATTCAAGGCTAATCAAGCTGTCTAATGGCAACATTTACACTTGTCTCCAAGAGACAAGAGTTCTTTCTCCCACCCTGGACATCATTCCACAGATATGTTAACAGCAAATAAGGAGCAACATTCAAAACCAGGGGAACTCCAGACAAGAGAACAATAAAGAACAACACTCAAAAAATATAAATGCTAACACCTCCCAAGAAAGGATTCCCCCTGAGCAGGAAGCAGCCAGGCTTTGAAGCTGCAAGGCCATTCAAGGCTGGCCAATGACAACATTCACACTTGTCCCAAAGAGACAAGAGTTCTTTCTCCCACCCTGGACATCATTCCACAGATATGTTAACACCAGGAGAACTCCAGGCAAGAAACAATCAGGGTCAGCTAACACCTCCCAAGAAGGGATTCCCCCTGAGCAGGAAGCAGCCAGGCTTTGAAGCTGCAAGGCCATTCAAGGCTGGCCAATGACAACATTCACACTTGTCCCAAAGAGACAAGTCTCCCAGCCTGGACATCATTCCACAGATATATTAAGCCCATATATTTCCAAAGAAACCATTATTTGCTGTGAGTTTTCTGGCCATATTCCAGAAGCATTCTCTCCTAACGTTTCACCCACATCTGTGGCAAGCATCCTCAGAGGATGTGAGGTCTGTTGGAAACTAGGCAACTGAGGTTTATATATCTGTGGAATGCTAACACCTCCCAACAAAGGATTCTCCCAGGCAGGAAATAGCCAGGCTTTGAAGCTGCAAGGCCATTCAATGATAATTGCAACATTTACACTCATAGAATCAAAGAGTTGGAAGAGACCTCATGGGCCATCCAGTCCAACCCTTTCTGCCAAGAAGCAGGAATATTGCATTCAAATCACCCCTGACAGATGGCCATCCAGCCTCTGCTTAAAAGCTTCCAAAGAAGGAGCCTCCACCACACTCCGGGCAGAGAGTTCCACTGCTGAACGGCTCTCACAGTCAGGAAGTTCTTCCTCATGTTCAGACGGAATCTCCTCTCTTGTAGTTTGAAGCCATTGTTCCGCGTCCTAGTCTCCAGGGAAGCAGAAAACAAGCTTGCTCCCTCCTCCCTGTGGCTTCCTCTCACATATTTATACATGGCTATCATATCCCTCTCAGCCTTCTCTTCTTCAGGCTAAACATGCCCAGCTCCTTCAAGCCGCTCCTCATAGGGCTTGTTCTCCAGACCCTTGATCATTTTAGTCGCCCTCCTCTGGACACATTCCAGCTTGTCAATATCTCTCTTGAATTGTGGTGCCCAGAATTGCACACAATATTCCAGGTGTGGTCTTCCATGCCAGGACTGTCTCCCACACTGGAACTTCAACAGATATATAAACCTCCCTTGTCTAGTTTCCAATATACCTCACAACCTCTGAGGATGCCTGCCATAGATGTGGGCAAAAAATCAGGAGAGAATGCTTCTGGGACATGGCCATACAGCCCGGAAAACTCACAGCAAACCATGGTTTCTTTGGAAATATATGGGGTTTGTATATTTGTGATTTTATATATCTGTGGAATACTAACACATCCCAGAATAGGAGTCCCTCAGGCAGGAGATAGCCAGACTTTGAAGCTGCAAGGCCATTCAAGGCTAATCAAGCTGGCCAATGGCAACATTCACACTCCCACCCTGGACATCATTCCACAGATAGATAGATAGATAGATAGATAGATAGAGAGAGAGATAGATAGATAGATAGATAGATAGATAGATAGATAGATGGAACACTTTTGGTCACAAGCATTTCAGACAAAAGAGGCACAGGGTTGCTGGGAGTTTTCCAGGCTGTATGGCCATGTTCCAGAAGCATTTTCTCCTGATGTTTTCACCACATCTATGGCAGGCATCCTCAGAGGTTGAGGACTCTATTGGAAACTAGGCAAGTGAGGTATATATATCTGTGGAATGATGTCCAGGGTGGGAGAAAGGACTCTTGTCCGCTTGAGGCAGATGTGAATGTCTAAAATTCAATGCAAATCAAGGTAGCCAATTGCAACATTCACTCTTGCCTCCAACAGACAAGAGTTCTTTCCCACACTGACATTATTCCACAGATATATAAACTCCACTTGCCTAGCTTCCAACAGACTTCACAACCAATGAGGATGTTTGCCATAGATGTGGGCAGATGAGTCATTTATAAGTTGCATGTTTGTGACTCAGGGCCCTTCCACACGGCCATATAACCCAGAATATCAAGGCAGAAAATGCAGAATATCTGCTTTGAACTGGATTATCTGAGTCCACACTGCCATATAATCCAGTTCAATGAGAATTTTATACAGCTATGTGTGTGGGGGGGGGGGGGGGGGGGGGGGTGGGGGGGGGGGGGGGGGGGGGGGGGGCTCAGAGACTGCCTGCATGTGTGTGTGTATCACAAACATACATACAAGCAGCCTCATAGATAGATAGATAGATAGATAGATAGATAGATAGATAGATAGATAGATAGGTAGATAGATACACACACACATA